AAAAAAATGTAAAAAGCGCTGCTGGCGTCATTGTGCCGTCGGCTCGGGCCAGCCCTCCCCTCGGGCTTGCCCAGGTTCGTGGGCTCCATTGTTTGCCCGGGCAGATCATTGCTGCTGGAAACATGTTTTTGGGTTTGCCCCCCCCCAACCCCCCCTTGGGCCCTCTGGTGGCAATGCTCTTAGGCTACAAGCAGTGAGATAAACGTTTCTATTGTCGTCACAACTAAATGTTGCTCTTAGTTACATTTTAAAGCCAAACATTTCGCCCTAGTCAAAATAGTTGGCAGGAAAATGCCAGTAATAATTAGCTTGTCTCCATTTCGTTCAATCCTTTTCAACCAAATTCGACTTGCTATATTCCCATCTATGGAGCCACGCCACCATAATATTCTCCAAACACAATCCGAAAACCATGATATTGGTTTATGGAAGGAATCATCGTTCCACATGAATCATGATGACAGCAAGTTACATGTTTGGCCCTATAGTAAAGAATACAGACATACAACTTTCTTAGATTTTTGCCCAGTGGTAGGAAATGGAGCATTTTGGGGCCGAAGGGTTCACATACTCATATATAAGAAACTAATGTTAAAAAATAAAAAAGAGAGTAAAAGAGGTATTTGTGAATAGGGTGGGTGTTCACAAATTATTTTAGGAACTTACCCCTTCCCTTAAATGCATTTTTCAAACAGTTAACAAATATCATAAACTCCACAATAGATCCACAAGGCTCAATTACATATTCAATAAGTGGCAGAAAAAGAAAAAGAACTAGTACATGTACTAAAGATATTGCTACCAGCAAAGAGAAGGCAGCTTGAATGAGAATGTAGAAGGCAAATGGCCAGTCCTCCTTATGTAATCTGCCTTTTCTGAAGTTCTTAAAGCTTTTTCATTGAGTTTGGCCTCTGCATTAGCCCTCTTTTCTTCAGCTATTCTTCTAGTCGCGGCAAGTTTATTTGTTAACTTTTCTTGACCCCGAGCTTTCATTCTCTCAGCTTTCACCTAATAATAAAGCAAACAACATGTCAGAAGGCTCTAAGAATGCTATTGCATTGGATTCCATATCTGTGAACCAGAGCTAATTGCTTTTGGTGTTATTTGGACAAACTTGTTGATATTGTTGTGGCAGTCTGAGCATTTGCAATCACACTTCCATATAGCATCCGGGGAGGCATTGATTTGCAGTTAATATATAAACTGCAAAGCCATTGTTATGTCCTACTTTGAAGTTAATAATATAGATAGGAAAATGGTTGGGCATCTTTGCCACCATTTTCATGAGTTTGTGGTCATAACACCAAGAAGGCATGAATTTCAGTATGAATTGGTACAAGGATAAGTGATTCGGGAAAAAAGGGATTCATGCCAGTGCTAGATTTTCATCGTTATGAAGCCCAAGACACTGATTTGGATCTGTATTTTTTTTTTTCTTTTCATGAAAAGCAATCTGAGCTGATGCTTGGTTCTTTTTGCACTTTGGAGAAGCTTGAATTTCTTGGCTACTAGGTACCAGCAAACATGTGTAGCAAACAAACTGACTTAAAGACTCACAATACAAAATCTAGGATCTAAACAAATGAGAGTAAATGGAAATATTCTGAAAATATAAATAACATAATCTAGAGAATCAGTACCTCCATTTTTCTCATTTCCATCTCAGCTTTCCTCTTCTCATGATTTTCCCAGGCTTGTATTCTGACCTCTTCGCGTTTATACCTACACAACAATACAAATTTAAGATGTACCCAGCTAGCTATAATTGAAAGTTTAAGGCCTCAGATGGCCTATGTAAGCAAACTTGGCCCAATAAATCCTAACATTTGAGTAAACAATACTGAAGTGCTGCATATATAATTAATTGCAACTGATTATAACTTGCCGGGGAAAAGAATATCAGTAACCTCTCACCTTGCCATATATTTAGCACGTTCTGCCTCATCCCAAGCCATTGCTCGAGTTTCTAGGGGACTTGGTTTCCTAGCTTGATATGAGTTCTGGTTTTCAGGCATACTCTTGCAAGCATTTGATTCTTCTACATACCTTTTGGCTGCACCACTCCCTCTCCCACAAGACTTGGCCTCATGACTACTTCTGCCATCAGTGGATTTTTGATAGCCCTGACTAGCTAGCATCCCATGTTGGCATGGCCTTACTGGGGTGGAGGATCCTGAAGATATAGGGCTCCGTGCCGCCGGAGTTGTGGCTCTAATAGGGGTGGCAGTTCTCGAAGGCTCTTGGCTTGCAATGGGGGTCATTTCTGTTCCCATGTCCCTCAAACATAAAGATCTCATAGCTGCTGTTGAGTTTTCCATTGGTTTGTTGCTTCTCCAAACTGAGTCATCACAGTCCACTTTCTTGGTCTCCACATCATATTGATTTGGCCTTGCAGAGCTATCACATCCATTTTCCTCTTCTTCTTCTTCTTCTTGATCTTCTACCCCATCATCCTCTCCACTTGAATAGTCCTGCTCCTTCTGTGGCACAGGGGCTATGAGTCTCAAGTCATCTGCATTTGAGTTTCTGGGCTTGGTTTTGGATTGGTTTTTGTCTGGTCCTCTTGACAGCCCCACTAGCCATTTTTGTGCATCATCCCATTTTGATGGCGTTGGTTTGCCTAAGGCTGTTTGATGACGAGGGGTACGGCTAGCTCCATTTGCTTTGTGAAACTCAAAATTTATAGAACTGCTGCTAGAAATCTCCTGAGTTGGTCCATGGTTGTTATAGCACTCCTTATCCTCTACGGATCTCATTCTTGCTCAAACAAATCTCTCACTCACTCTCACTCACATGGGCCACACAAGACAACTCTATAACCACTAAACCAGAACTCCATTCCACACAACCATGTTCAACGCAATCTTCCTCTTCTTTCTTTCTTTCTTTATTTCTTTCTTTCTTCTTTTTCTTTTTTCTGTCTGCAATTGCACAGAAGTAGAGATTCTATCAGCAAACCAACGTGGACCAAAATCCTATCTTTGTAATTACCTTAGTTCTCTAACTTCATGCTAAAACAAATCTGGGAGACAAAACCATCCCCAATAATTCCTCAACAAAAACAAGCTCTTTATACAAGCCTACTGGGAACTATGTAGCTTGACGGATAACTATTCTTCAGCATACATGAGTAACATGATGAAGCACATGAGACACCTAATGATCTTCCTACCCATTAAACAGAGAAATTATATGGCCTAGCTTAGAAGTAATTAAATGCAACGGACAAAATTGTTACATCAACAAAAATTAATGGTACCCGGCAAAAACCCAGAAAAATCTGAACTTTCCAACACTGCAGCAGCAAGGGACCCAGGACCCATCTGGGATTTATCCACAATGCCAACTAATCTCCAAAGTTAAAAACTTTAAGCACCGAGTAGCCTGAAAATGAAAGCATCCCAAACCCAAAGGTCAAAAGTAACGCAGATGGCTAGTTAAGTGATGCAATATAATGTCCAGATGACCCAGCTGTAAAAAAGATTCAACAGAGAATTTAGGTTGAATTTCAACACAGAACAACCATTGACAGATGGGTTTTGCAGAAGAAACCTTGTCTTGGAGAATAATATACCTTTATTATACACATGGAATTTTGTGACCTGCAGAATTTACAAATGAAGTTCAGATCTACGCTTAACATTAAAAATACTTAAAAGAAATACATGATTGAAACATGAAACTCCTACAAATGGCAGCAATAGTAAAACCATTTACATGGGAATTTGTGAACTTTATCACTGAGAAAACTGGCACAACACTAACAACAGGTAAGTTGCTTACAAATTTACAAGTTACATTTTCACCAAGTATTCTTGGGAAGAGTTTCAGCAACCCACAGAAAAATATTGTAACTGCTCTAGTCCCTAGAGAGTGTAAAAAGGTTTCGAAATACGGTTGTCCTTTGAAACGGTAACTAGCTGATCGAGTGTTTGAGGTGGTGACACGTGAACGGTCAAGATGAACAAGAGTGTCAGTCCCCTCAGATGCAATGTCTGGGCTCTGTGGCTTTCACGTGGCCATGGGTGAGGTGAAGAAGAGCTTCTGCAAGTCTGAGCCAATTGGTTAATAAATGATTGTATGGACGTCATAGATAGTGCCGTTTAATAAGTCAAGCAAGCAAAGCAGTGGCAAATTGGCAAATAAATCACATGCTGTCATGTTAGCAAGCATTGTGAGAAAAGTTCAATAATCCAATCTGTTGGGATTATTAAATTCCACACCCCACACTTTCTTATTTTGTCATTTTGTTCCATAAACAATTTGGATGATTGGGGCCTTCATTTTAGGGCATCTCCAACTAATATGTCAAATTGCTACACAAAAAAATAGTAAAAATCAAAAGTTAAAATTGTTCTAACCGAGTAGTCAAATTCTACATAAATTTGAAGCTGGAAAGAGATATGTTAAAAATAACATATCAAAAAGCTTGATGCCAAATGTTATTTTAATATTTTTTTAATCATGAACCTCACTATTATTTACTCTTTTTTAAAACTTGATGCGTCATATGGGTCCCATTTGCTTTTAAAAATATAATACAATAATATTTGACATTTTTGGTAGAGTTAAATTTTTTCCAAAGTATCAAATTGCCACATAAGCCATCAAATTTAAATTTAATATTTTGCATTTGACATCTCCCTTAAAGATGCTATTAAGCAACTAAGATTTGGAAAAACACACCATTTTATGCCTAGGCTATTTGGATCCACAAGAGAATGCCACTGCATTTTCAAGGTTGTAATTGAACAAATCGAATAAGTTCAAATTGACGTAACATAAAATCTATTAGTTCAATGAGTAAAATTCATTGTGCTTTAAGACTCCTGACTAAAGAATAAAGAGTGTGTTGAACTATTAGCTGAAATGGAAATTGCAACAGTTAAGAAGTTACAACCTTTCCGAGTTGCATTTACATCATATGTTTGATAGGTGACTCATCTTATTATAAAATTAATTTTAGGTGGTCATTATTTAATAGCATAATTGTCACCATTGTTTTCTTTTCTTTTTTTAACTAACCACATTTTACTTCATCAAAGTTTAGGTGTTGTATTGAAATGGATCATGAAGTTTCAATTTCATCAATTTAATAACCAACGTTTTAAAATCTGACTAATTCACAATGTCCGTTAGATTGACTGTATGGTTAAATGATTAAATGGTTAAATGCTGATGAGGTATAAAAAAAAGAGAAATTAACAAATATATATATATATATATATATTTTAAACCCAGCCCCTCTCCTTGTCCGCACGCTCCCCACCCCCTCCTCCTCTGGCGAACCTCGTCCCCCTCCTCCTCTCTCTCTCTCTCTCTCTCTCTCTCTCTCATGATCCACACGCCAATCCAGTGAATCCAGCCACCCCTCTAAATGTGAAGTTACGGTAGAAGGAAGATGAGAAGAAGTGGAAGGCCGGTGAGGGTCAGGACTATGGTTGCTCTTTGGAGGTATATGCCTAACATGTCATATTTTTTGGCACCACCGCACTTCACAGTTCAAAAGTTGCGCTTGACCTAAAAACAGTGTGCTTCGAGAGGAACTGAAGAACACGACGCCATACAGCTTCATAGGTACGCTTGGAATTCTAAACTTTTCTTATTCAATTTCGAATTTTTCGAATTGTCACCGCCATTTTTCATGAACCTAACATTTGTTTATGCAACACCCAAAGATTCACCCTAATGGGCAATTGAGAGGAGCCCATTTTGTGTATGTATTTCAAAATATACCAGGCCAAGGCCCAACTATTTAAGAGCTAACCTTAGCCCAAAATATTTGTTCCAGTCCATGCCACCAAGGCCCAAGCCAGCCAGCCAACCAACCAACCACTAGTGCTTCACTTTTTCTTGTTCCATACTTCAGTGACCATTCTCTAAACTTCGTTTCAAGCTCAGCTGCTGGGTTATGGCGGTTTCAAGGTTGTTCAAGAGGTTTTGCGGTCTTCACAAAGCTAATGCCAGAATCCAAGCATGCCCACCTGGCTACATACATAGAAGAGCCTTATCAGACTCCAAGGTATTCAACAATGGCGATGATACGGTGCTTCCGGTTCTGATAGTAGGTGCAGGACCTGTGGGTCTTGTTCTGTCTATACTTTTAACAAATCTAGGTATGTTCTTGTTCTAACCCAACATTTTTTAAAGTCCTCTGGCCTTGCTTGTTTCCTAGAAAGAAAGTTTGGGAGGGAAGAAGGAAGTTTAGAATGCTTGTACTTGGCATTTGTTTTCACCTTCAAAGATACTTTGTTATTTTTTTTTTAAATAAATAAATAAATTCTTATGATCAAATTGTCAACAAAGGGAGCAGTAAGTTGGAAATTTCAGTGTGCTAGTTAATTAATATTCATGCTTGACATTACTGGAGGAGTGGTGTTTGAGCGGAGGTTTTATAGAATGTGATGGTGCATGTGTTAAGGTAGTGTAAGGTTTTAAAATCTGAAATTTCTTGTCGGAAGTTAAGAACTTTTTTTTTTGGGGCAATCAACGTTCTCTGATGAAACGTACTAGCTCTTGTTTGCTTGATTTATATATTGCAGTTTATGATTTAATATCCACCTATTGGTTGTAAGTTGTTCTTATTCCTGGTGGAAGTTGGAATAAGTTCTCGATTATTAATCATCATGTATCATTATTATTTTATAGGGATAAAATGTTCAGTTTTGGAGAAAAGCAAAACTTTCTCAAAACATCCGCAGGCACACTTCATCAACAATCGGTCCATGGAGGTTGATTTTCATGTTTGGAAGATCTAATTAAATGACTTATTTGAAGGAATTCAAGCTTCATTTCAACTTGTAAATTATTAGGTGTTCCGTAAATTGGATGGCCTGGCAGAGGAGATTCAGAGGTCTCAACCACCAGTAGATTTATGGAGGAAGTTCATATATTGCACTTCGCTCTATGGTTCAATTCTTGGGTCAGTGGACCATATGCAACCCCAAGGTGCAATTGAACTCTTTATTCTTCCATTCTTTTCCCAGTTAGCACACAGCATTTAAGTCTTATGCAACTTTGAGATTAGACAACAAGACATTTTAACTATTTAAGATATTCCAATACAATGATGACGTGCCCGTGTGTGCAATATTTTCAAACATTTCATAAGTAGACTGTTTAATGTATGAATATGCTTTAGGATTTGGTATTTTAGCAGTTTCATTCCGGTTTCACTTTATCATCAGATTTTGAGCAAGTTGTCAGCCCGGCCTCTGTCGCACACTTCTCGCAGTACAAGCTAATTAGTTTACTACTTAAGCAGCTTGAAAATCTCAGCTTCAAGTTATGTATGTCTAACGAGTTGGAAGGCCTTAGCCATAGGCCTTTTCAGGAAAGGCAACTATTAATGGGGCATGAGTGTGTTTCCATTAAAGCCAATGATGATTTTATTTCTGTGACTGCATCTTTTCTCAAAGATGGGAAACGTATGGAGAGGAATATCAGATGTAATATCGTTGTTGGTACAGATGGTGCTGGAAGTACTGTACGTAAGCTGGCTGGAATAGATATGAGAGGTAAGAGGGACTTGCAGAAGCTTGTGAGTGTCCATTTCTCTAGCAGGGATCTTGGGAAGTACTTGCTCAGCGAGAGACCCGGCATGCTGTTTTTTATCTTCAATACTGAAGCTATAGGTGTCCTTGTCGCTCATGATCTCAAGCAAGGGGAGTTTGTTTTGCAGGTATTGCTGGCTTTAAAAGTCTCTTGGAATTTGTTTGGTGATATAAATGTGCAATTACATGGATTGTCTCTCATCATCTTGCAGATTCCATTTTATCCACCTCAGCAAAACCTTGAAGATTTCAGTCCCGAGGTATATTTGCTATGCATTGTAGATAAGTTAATTTTATGGAAATTGTTCTATGCAGTCTCATGATTGTTTCCACTAAATTGAAGGCATTTTCTTACATTTAAGGCCTTAATAAGAAGCTTCTTCATTGTGGGTACTTGCTCATAAGGATTTACTTGTCGTAGATATGTGAGGAATTAATCTTCAAGTTGGTTGGTCGAGAGCTAAGTGACATAAATGTGATTGACATAAAACCATGGGTGATGCATGCTGAAGTTGCTGAGAAGTTCATAAGTTGTGGAAACCGAATAATACTTGCTGGTGATGCTGCCCATCGATTCCCTCCTGCTGGAGGATTTGGTTAGTAGTTTGCTTTT